TTTCCTGTTTCTTTTATTTATTTAGTTTTCATTTTAGGCAATGGACTGGAATTCAGTGTTCAGAATAAACTGGAAAAAGCAATTCCAATTGGGAAAAAAAAAATAAATAAAAGCAGACCAAAGACAAAGTATAGCGCCGGTGGATTAAAGTGCTGTGGCTTTGCTTCCTGTTTGCTGGAACTCCAGAGGCACGAAAAATGACAACCCGCCAGACTTCCTTTTTGCATTCACACCTTGGGGCCCCATCGTGGCTTGGGAAGGCCAGTGGCCCGCTGGGGGGTGGGGGGGGGTTTTTTTTGGCCGAGGGGCATCTGGGCCCAGGCCTGGGCAGGCCCCAGGGGTGCAGGGGGACCGGGAGCTTGGCACGCTCTGCCTGCGCCGTGGGCAGGGAACAAAAAATAGACATTCCAAGATAAAAGATCAAAGAAAGGCACATCTAAATTATTTGAGAGCTGGAGAAAGCGTCCAGTTGGAGAACTGAAGACTCCATTCAATTCAGTCTAGCAAAAGTGATACAGGGCAGGGAGGGTGCAGGCAATAGCATTTAAGTGTTTAATGGTATTTGTGGGGAATGCATCTGTCCCTAAAACCTGATTAGGAGTATCAAAGTGCAAGGACAGATATAACAGAAAAATAAGAGCTGAAAGGTGAAGACAGGTTTTACATAGAAAATGAGCACTTTTGTCAGCAACCTGAAGGATCTGCCAAAGATAGTTGGGGTTTTCCCACCTACCATAAACTGAGTACCTTTCTGAAAGACTTGTGGATGTTACTTGCACAGTATCGGATTCAAGGACAACTGTTTCTCTTCTCACCGGTGTTATGGATGAGCAACACACTTAAAATCTTAAGGCATTTGAGCCTCATCCATTTGAAATCCACCCTGCGATGTCTCATACTTTACAGAATCATGCAACCAGTGATCTTTTCAATGTGGTCAAGTCTTCAAGTGCTGAGTTGAATATGCACTTGATACTTGTTTTGTAATGCAAGTTACACTGTGATCGTGGTGACCGAAGACCACAGGCACTGTGTCATGTGTTTAGCAAACAATGTTACCAATAAAAGCCGTTTCTGTGGGCCTGTTGCCTGTAACCAGGAAGTCAGGGCCGATCAACAGACAAAAAATTCTTCCCTGTAAGGATGTGTTTAAGTCAGAGGTCAGGAAGAAATGTATCACTGTGCTCTTTAAGGTAGGATGGAAATATTCAGAGCTGGTAAGGATTTTCTTGTGAAGTAACAATGTCATGTGAAATGTACATCATTTTATAAAGATAATATTTCTAATTTCTATTTTTCAGATAAATAATTTAACATAAACTGAATAATAATGATTATTATTAAAATAGCTCAAAAGAAAGCATTGAAACCACAGTTATTGCAACAGAACTCTTGCAGATGCCAGTTTTCAAGCAAAATATGTAACCATTCAGGTTTTTTAATATTCATCATACCAACATTTTAATACATTCTGGTTTTGAAAATTCTGATCATGTTTAATTATTCTGAAAAGTTGTAGATCTTCAGGGAAAGTGCAAAACCAGTTATCTAATGCAGTCCATAATTTACATGGTGCGTTATTGACCCAAATCCACTGCTGAGCTAGTCTGAGAAGCTTATAGCTTTCTTTATTCTGCAATTCAGCAACTAAAGCTTTATAAACCGAGCAATGAGGATCTTGACAAGGCAGGCAAAGCTTGTGTTTGCTGAATCTTTTCTTCTAATCAACAAATTTAATGCATATGTAACATATGTTTTGTATGTAAAATAAGTTGTTAACACAAGATACTTTTTGACCGCAGAAGCTTCATCTTTGTCATTTTTTTTTCTGTTTTACAAATAACAGAAGACATAACTTCTTATTGTAATGAATCTGTAGTAATTCAGACAGAAGACAAGGATAGTTCATTTCAAACAAATCCCTTTGCATTAGAAAAGACTTTCTGAAGAGTATGCCTACGCTGGTTATATTCATCCATCTGTGCATGTTTGTGTGCCTGCCCGCTTGAGAAGTGTAGGACAACTGCAGATGGCTGCCATTGCAGAAACCTTCTAACATTGCTGCTCTTGGACACCTCTCAGCTTGTACTACAAAACCAGGCAGACTGAAATGCAGGCGTATGTTTACAGAAAAGGCAAGAAAGGTGAAAGAGAACATGAGGTGGGGGGACAAATGTATGAGTTTCACTCTCTGTGCAAAAATCTGGATAGGCCCAGAAGAGATGGTATCCAATAATGATAATAATAGTAATGATAGATAAAAAAGAAGTTCTGCATCAGACAGTTTATAGCGCTAGGAGTCTTTCCCACTGAAAATGCTAAATTGCACTCCAGATGTGAATGCCCATGTGACTTCACTGTGGTCCTGTTTTTACGTTTGCAAGCATTTGCGAGGGTGGTACAGTTGGTATTCAGGTTTGAATGCACACTTGACATGTATTTAAGGGGCAGCTGTTATGGGCAGGGTCTCTGTTTGCCCTCCCATTTACCAAGCACCCACTTGCTGTTGATGACAGATGAAGTGCATTTCTTGATTTAGTTCACATCTTGTTACATTCTGCAACAAAAACAGGAGGAAGAAAGTAAGTGGAGGTGACCGAGAGGTTCACTTCAAGTTTGTAAAGCATACTCTGGGGTTTAGCACAATACAGTTGGTAGCACTGTTTGACAGCGCTCATGGCTTTGCTGGAACTGTGTGCTATATTGCACTGAAATCATTGGGCTGTATCTGCTATTTTCAACAAAAATTTAAATCAGGTCATGTAGACAAAGGAGGGCTTATATCTTTACTATGGTTCTCCCTCTTATTTTCAGCTGGTATCCTTAATAATTAGTAAACTAAATGTATTGAATAATATAACAATAAGTGTATGCCAGGCTATGTAACTCATGCCATCTCTGCAGTATAAATCTTCCTACATGCTGCCTCCAAATGTCTTTAGTAGTTAAGAAAGAAAAGCTAAAAAAAGAAAAACATGTGTACAATATAACGTTGGAGGCAATTGAGACCAGACACCATGTTCATGCTTCTACTGTTGCTACTATTTTTTTGTTCAATGTCTTAGGTGACTATGTAAATTTATAAAACATTATCTGAAAAAAATAAATGACACTATCATGGGATTAGTTATATCTTTTTCATGTTGAACTGAATATATGATTATATTTTCAGCTGTGATTCGAAACTGAAAACTGAAGAATGAAAATAAGAGATAAAGTACTAATACATAAGTACTACTTAAATGTCTTCAATGGAAGTTTCTTGGTGAAAATTCTGTTCTGTTTTTCTTATTTGGCAGGTTCAAATTAATTTTTTAAAATGTTTTTAATTAAAACAATAATCCTTCTTTTTTCCCAGGGTATGTGTCTTATGCTTTTGACATTTGGCCTATGGCTTTTATTTGAGAGAAACAATTTATTCAGTGTGTTATGTGAGTATAAATAGAATTTGTCTTTTGTTTCAGATTATTGCAGAATAAATCAACAGAGACAGAGATAGATTTTTTTTTTTCACAAGGTGGCAGTATTGGATTGAAACACATAGGTTATCTTTTTCTGTTGTGTGTATTTTCCATCATTAGACAGTATGATTATCAAAATAAGGGAGAATATATATAAATATATCCACAATGTATAAGTGATTATAACTTACACAATTTATTTATTTCTCTTGGTGTACAGTTTATAAATGAACCACTGAAATATAAATCAGCTCTATTGATCTTTTCTTTATGTAATTTACCAGACTGTATTTGGCCTGCATTTGACAAGATCATAGATCCTTTAGGTAGATATTTGGGTGGAATGAACACAAGTTGGAACTTGGGCCTCTTCATATAGTTACTCCTTTTTCTCAGATTGTCTATCAGATTGTTTCACAGAGAAGTAAGTTTTGGGTCACATAACAACAGCTGTGCTATTGAGGAGTTGTCTGGCTTGCTATGGCAGGGAGCATCAGTTCCAAACTGATACGATGGGAACCATCCAATACAGTAATTCTGGGGTGAAGCAGTTGAGGTGGAAATAATAAAAACCCTGATACTTCCATGTCTATGCAAAAATGGTTAAAATGGAAAGGGGAAAGTGGCCAGTCACAAAGAGAGAGGATAGAACTGAATATGAGTCTGGGCTTAATGAGAACTATATCTATGTCCATGCAGGATTTGTGCATGTGCTACTAATTTTTGAGAAACAGAAAAAAATCTGTTAACTTGCGATTGTTCTCTGATTTCATTGTGAGTGGTTCACATTGTTCAATTGAGTGTGTTCTGTTTACGTCTCATATGTGGTTCCCATCCTCTGAATTTATGAAAATATATCTTTTTGTGACTTCAGATAGCATAAGTAATAGTAGTAATACCCTTTTATCATTCTACTATTTCCATCTTTTCAGTAATGGCATTGGTAAGATTTAATTTTTCTTCTGGAATAAATTTTGTAAGTAGAAGTCTCAAAAAAAAGGGAAGTGTTAGTATGAATGCACCGTGTTACAGTTTCTTCAGGTGAGAAGCAGTTAGTGGCATGTATTTCTTGTATATTGCTTGGAACGGGATCTGTTATTACTTCTACATCAGCTGTGGGATTCCTTGGAAGTGTTGTGGAAATCAAATGTCTACTAGTTACAGTAAGTGTAAATCAGACTCCAACTTTTTCATAAAACAAAAGGGAGTTTTGTGAGCATGAAAAGTGTGATCCTGTCTTTTTGTGATTTCCACATACAGTGCTTAACAAATCTGCTGATAGAAAGATATTTTTTAGATAAAGTCTTGGCTCAAATTAAATCTGAACAAAACTGAAGATCTTCCATATCACTGCATGAATGTGTTCAATGACAAAACACTTGCAGTTTGATGCAGCAAAGTTTTTAACCATTATATTTATTAACTCAGAGGTTTTAAAGTTAAATTATTATTGAAATTATGCAGAGTGGCTATCTCTCAGTACATGCTGAAGTGCTTGGTAAGTGTTGAAGAAATGAAGAAAAGCCTGCCCCAAAATATTGCAGATTGAAGGTACGGGTAGCTACAGTATGGCTACAGTATCGAATCAGGGAGTAAGATTAAAAACCTGTTACCTATGTAGAACTACCTGGATACTCCATATTTATATATGATTCTTTCTTTTTAAGGGAAGAACACTTTGTTTTCTGAAAAATTAGACTGTAACTGTACCTTCTTATGATCACTTTGATTACATTTTTCCCTTTGTCTTTTGTTTATTGTAACCCTTTTTGAGCGATCTGCTTTAGGCTATGTGAAGGCTGAAGCAGAGAACTCTTCTACTGCTTCATTTGTTAAGCACTACCAATATCAATTGGCACAGCAGCGAGAGGACTCTCAGGTGCTATAACCAGGAATCCTGTTCCTTCTTCCTTCCTGCTACTGCCCTAGGCATATAGTGTTTGCCTCATCATTTATTAGATGATGAAAGAGAAAGAAGTGTCTCATTTCCAACTTCCATGGAAGTATCTATTATCACAGTATCAGATACTGTGGGCGAAAATTTGGTCTCTCTGAAAATGAACAAAATCAATTATCTTTTTCTTTTGTTTGTGCATCTTACAGCTCAAAGGAGTCCTTGACTAGGCATGAGAATTAGGTACCATGATAATTCAAATAGGAAATAATGAAGTAAGAGTTTTCTTAAGCAAAGCACAGCTGCTTAACAACAGATTTTGTTCTTCCAAGAAAGTTATGGCTTTGTCTTTAAGCCCAAAACAATGAGTTGTGTTTTGCCTGAAGCCTCTTAGACTATGATGTCACTTCTGAGGGTTTCCAGGAAAAAATATTTTTGTTGGAATCACTCTAATTAATAGTCATGAAGGATTATACATGAGCTTCTGGAATTTTTTATTGCATTACTCACTTGTTCAATATTATGTTTATACATAATTTGAATTTTTTTTTTTTTAAGTATATGAGTTTTCAGATCCCGGTGTTTTTTACCCAAATGGCAATATCAGTGCTGATATTCATGAAGAAAGAAGAGGTGTGTAAATAAATTATGTGAGACTGCTGATAATTTCAAAATAGTTTACTGAAATTAATTTAAAAATTTCTATTATTCATTTCTCACTGTTTAGTGTATGGCAATTTGTTTGAACTTGAGTATTCTACGTGCAAACCAGGCATAGCAGAATATGTGTAAAACTTAATTTGAGGAATTCAGCATGGATTAATAGTTGTAAAGGAGAGTACATGGAAATATATTTCCAGTTTCTGCTCTGCAACAGGACATACTCTGCCTGTTCAGGAATGTGTAATCAACAGTGTAAGGGACAGCTTTGTTCCTTTGTGAGGGATGACCCAGGAAGTCCCTCTTTCCTAGATGTCAGCAGAGGTAGAAGAAAGCATTAGATGCTAACCTGTGGCTGCTAGCAGGTGATGGTAGTAGGAGTCATGGCATGCAAAGTATGCTAATAAAGGACTAACTTTATTGTCTAAGCCTGTATTTTAGGTCCAAGTAGAGATCTAATATAAAGAATATGTATCTTTGCTTTTAACAACAGGAAGCAACAATAAATGCCAATGTAGCTGTTGTAGCTGGTAACTGTGCTGCTTTGAAACTTTATTCAGTCATTTGTTTTTATACCTACAGCAACTCCAATAGCTTGAACACTCTTCAACACTATTATATGGAAGGTAATCTGTACTAAATCCATACTGGTCTGGCCACCTCCCTATTCCATGGTTCCAAAATCTGGTTCAAGAAAACTTCCCATGACACTGGTCTCATAAGATTCATATGTTTCTCCAAATTCTACTGCTGTTCAGGCAGGGCACATCACAAATAAATTAGTTTTACTCCATCAAAGTGAATCTGTATCACCAAGATTTCTTCATTAAATGTTAATTTATAATGATGGTTTTGTGTGATGGTTTTACATATTGAAAGATTTGAACTGTCAGGAATGATGCATTCTGGAGTCAGCTATTTGTGCTAGGAAAATTGGTTGAAAGATGGCAGTTTATTTTATATCAACTGTAATTGCAGTTGATCTCAACCTTAATTAAGTGTTGCTGAAGTATAATAAAAGATGGTAACATCACTGTGCAAGCTTTTGAATTGTGTTTTTAGGATGGCTGTAGCAAGGGGAATGAGTTGGGAAAAGCCTCATTTTTTTCTTGTTTTGTAGTGAAAGCTTTCACTGGCCTAGGAGTTCTCCTCTGCGTGTGTTCCCTTCTACACTCTCTATAATCATACTCTTTGTGATCGATCTGCTTGTCTACTTCAATTGCCATTGAAGGTGTATTTTAACAGTCTCTGCAAAGATGCCTGATCTAGGGCCAACATGAGCTGCTAACTCCCCTAGCCCAGAGCAATACATGTCCTGGCCAGATTGCATGGTGCTCACACAGTTTTGTATCACATTAGGTGTAGATGCAATTTTGGTTTATGCTTATTATTATATAGTGTTGTGCTTATTAAACATAAGTGTGAGAGGTAGGATTTAGTATTTCACAACAGATCAGGTGCATTTAAACTGTGTTCCCCCGGCTCTTCTGGCTCCATTTAGGCTAATCACCTTGTGTCTGCCTGTGCTATGTATGTGATTTGAGTCACTTCATTTATCTTCCCTTTTTGCTTTCAACTTTCCCATTAACGCAGTGGGTATGACATGTCTTAGATCGTATTTGGCAAATTGATTAGAATGCTGCTGCTTGCAAGTAACCCTTGAAGAAACCTGAATATCAATAAAAGATCAAGGTTTGTACTATCCATCCACACACTTATCAATATGCATATATCAAATGCTATAAATATTTATGAACAGATCTGCAATCAATAGAACAACAGAACTGATGAAGTCATTTCTGAATATGGGAATGAGAGTCTGGCCGAGCAGGAACCCGTGTGGAACATTCTGAATGCTGTGCAGCACAATGTAAAAAAAACCAAAACCAAACCACAAAATACCACCACCAAACCCACTGTATCAACCAAAAAATATTTATATCAATCAGAACTTAGTTTTAAAGAACAACTCCTTTAGTAAAGGATTAATTTTTCAAGATCCGCTGCTAATATCTGGTGTGGGTGGGCAGATACCTTGTTGTTATATGGATTATTATATTGTTATATAGATGAGATTAGGCTTTTGAAGGACTTGTCAATGTATGCAGGACCAGACAGTTCTGGTCACTGAAGTTTACTGCAGCTGAAAAAAACTGTGAGTTTACTAATGTTTTTGACAGTGCTGGATATCATGAAACACTTAGTCTGCTTAGGTCTCAGGACTGACCTGAACCATGGACAAGCAGAGATGCTATGAGGTCAAAGCAGAGCTCCTACTGTGAGAGCACTTGAATAGGTATTGGACTGATATTCTCTCATAAATAATGCTTAAAGCCTCAAATGGGCTAGCAAATCAATACTTTCAGCTCACATACTTAATTATTAATCATAATAATTTCTATGGCCTGGCAGCGTAATTTGCTTCCTTTTTCAGAAAAGTCCTTCAAAGCATTTGTATGGGATTGATTATTTTGAAAGCTGCTAGCAATGTTTTTGACCAGTGGCCCTTCAAATTAATTCTGCATCATGAGCTTTTAATAACAAACACTACAGTTTAATGGTTTAATAAGGTTGAATATGCTTCCATAGACCAACTGCGAGTCCCTTAGTATGACTTCTTGCAGAGGTGAGCTCTATAGTTCTTGACAATGGTTGAAGATAATTTGTGATTCCAGGTAACTCACAAAGCATATATGTCTAGACTCAAGGTTACAAATGCATTTGTAATGTATATTTAAAATCTGTTATTTGAAAATCCAATCTTCTCTCATTGCATTCATGATTTCTCTAGTCATTAATGGTGACCTCATTATGTCAATGTGGCTGGACTATGTGCTGGTATACTTGAGCTCAGTTTCATTGAACTGTTGTGGCAGCACAGATTTCAGCAAAGCTACCTACCCACCACCTACACTGATGGACATGTTTAAATTGTGACATATCTCAAGGTCCTGTGGATATTTTGCTATTGGTACTAAGGCAGATAAAATACTAAATCTGCCAAGGTGAACTGTAATCACACTTCTGAATGAAAACTGCCATCCCCAAGTTTTGTGTTACATGCTTCCGGTTCTTTACAATATCATTGACATCTGCCATGAGAAAAATAAAAATCCTAAGATAATGAATAGTATTAGAAAAGAACTAGATTTTTACATATTTGTGGTAGAATTTAATGTACTGCTTAAACTTTGAGATTTTTTAATCTGAATTTATAGGGTTGTTGAAATTGAATGTTTTTACAGAGAAAGGACAGTTTTGGCTAATTTAGAAGCAGTATATTTTGGACTGACTCTTCAAAACAGCAAAATACCAAAATATGTCAGACTTTTTGTCCCACAAAAAACCCAAAACAACAAACCCAACCATTTCTGAAGTTTCATTGTGATTCAAAATGAAAATCTGCTTGAATTTTCTACATGACAAGAATTCTATTCTCCAAGCTGTTTGATGGCTTGGTTTGGTTTTGTGTTACTGGTATTGAAATAGATAATTGGAAAGAACTAGCTGACAATCCATTTGAACAGAGCACAGTATTTGCTTTGTGCTTTGAGTTTCAGCTATGTGTTCACAAAAGATCAATTGCTGCTAGAACACAAGTTGGAATAGGGAGACTTTCAAAAGATCTCCTCTTGTTAAGAGTGGAGAATTTTTGCAAATACAACATTAAAAGTGACAAAGGAATAAAGAAGTTTTCAAAATCTGATCCTTACTTAAGTTCCTAGCTCATAGTAAAAGTGTGGTTTTAATTTTATTTATTAAAATATATTTCATAAAATCTGTCTCCATTTACTGCATTCATAATGAGACATCATTCATTATGTTATTTCCAACAATGTATTGTTTTCTTTCTTCTTTTTATTGTGCTTCACAGTGAGCACATCTTTAATATAGTTTACTGTTTGCACAATTTCTACACTGAGTTTACTTTGGAAGGTTAAGGAAGATAGTCAAAATGTTTTGCTTTAATTTGGGGTTTTTTGTTTTGTGTTTTTTTTGTTTGTTTGTGTTTTTTTTTTTGTTTTTTTGTTTTTTTTTCTATTTACATGCATTCTGGAGTAATTTAGAGTCTAAAATAAAATTCCTTTCAAGTCTATTTTAATATCATACCCTTCTTAAACCTGTACTATCCAGTGTATATCATGGGAATTATACATACACAAGGGTGAAACATCCCCTGCGGAAACCCGTCTCTATTGAATACAGAGGGAAACTGTCTAGCTAATTTAATCAACTAAATGAAATAGTTTGTGCTGGTTGGGGTGGAAATTCCTCTGTGTGACAGTTTGTAAATGTTGGAGTTACAAGCTACAGGATTTCTATTCTACATGGAATGCTGTGGAAGATACAATGTCACACAGTGAGAAAGAAATTAAAACAAGGAAAATAGCACTCAGATCCCAGGTTCATGCATAAAATCTAGTCTGAAGAAATGGTTTTGTGATGTCCCAAGGCATTCAACATACAGTATGGCAAGAAATAAAAAGCACATCTTGAAGAACGTAACTTTTGGTACTAAGTAGTCTTTGGAAAAAATATAAAAAATGTGTTTTCCACCAAGACTTGGCTTACAAGTGCCAAAGTATCAATAATATGCATTGTTTTGTCTTTGGTCACTGTGAAGTGACCTTTTACTTCTTAGGCGTCAGTCATGTAGGCAGTTCTAAATTAAGGATATTTAAAGAAAACAGGAGTTGTGAATATCACAGATCAGTATCACATGGACATTTAGTAGTGGTTTAAGAAGTAGTAAGCATCCTGGCATTCAAATACCCATGCTGTGCAAATCAATGATGACAATGGAAAATGACAGTATAAAAAGTATACAGTACATTTTCCATTAGTAATTACTGTTCATTACTTACTGAATGCCAGCAACGTCCCCACCTGTTTGTATTTCCTGTTTCCATAGCACCTTCAGTACTTTACAGGATAAGAGGAATGAGCAAGGCATTGATACGAGATGTGTTTCCCAAGACCAGTTCATGTTAGCGTTTAAATATCTTAATATCAAGGGACTAGTTTGCATAGGGCCGTCAGATATCATCACTTGATAATAGATAACAGGAGCAAAGCTCTGAGCAAAGAGTGTTATGCTCTTCTACAAACCCTACAGTGCTAATAGAACTGTCCAATGATAACAAAAATTCAATAGACAAAGGTTATTTCTTGACAATGTGGGACAGTAAGTAATAGAAAGCGTGTTGTCAAATAGCATCTGGTATTGTCTTTCTTTACTCAGCAGTTTGTAATTGTTCCCTGTTTCTACAAACCCTTGTCATTATTAAAAGGTCACTTCAAAATATAGAGAGTACTTATTTATATGTTTTATTATATTTATAGCTATTTTAAGCTATGTAATAATTTATAATTTCTTTTAAAAAGCAATGTAATAAGAATAGACTGTAATCTGGAAAATATGCATGTCCATTTCAGGATGCATAATGTATGAGAATCAGTGAAAACTTGAAAATATTCTTTCAAGCATTTACATGTAAGGTAGTCTCACAGTTATACTCACACAGAAGCAAACTTTCTTTTAAGTCTTTGTAGTACTGGGGAGCACAGGACTGGATGCAGTACTTGAAATATGGTCTCACAAGAAACGGACAATCATTTCCCTCAGCCTGCTTGACTGCACACTTGCTAATACAGCCCAGGATGCAGTTGCCCTTCTCTGCTGTGAAGGCACGCTGCTGACTTATGTTCAATTTATTTTCTAGAAGCAGCCCCAGGTAATTTATGCAAAGGTGCTTTCTCCCCATTTGATCTCCCTGCAACCCATGCTGCTGTATGGGGTTATTTCATCCCAGATGTCTTTTCTGAATATCATGTGTTCCCTGTCAGCCCATTTTTCCAGCTTGTCAAAGTCCCTCTGAATAGCGGCTCTGTCCTCCAGATTATTGGCTGTTCTTCCTGTTCTTCATTTGCCTTGCCTGTTCTTCATTTGCAGACCTGCTGAAGGTGCAGTTCATCCCATAATTCAGGTCATTAACAGAATTGCCCCAGTCTTGATCCTTGAGGGGTGACATAATTAACCAACCACAACCTCAGCTTTATACTGCTGATCACAATAATTTGAGCCAATTTTCCTCTCCATTGTCCTCTTATTCTGTCCATGTATCACATCTTTGTCTATAAAGATATTATGGGATACCACGCCAAAGACATTGTTAAGGTACTTAGTGGAGTGGTCATTACTCTTTCAACTCCTACTAAGCCAGTCATCACATCATAGAAGGTAATCAAGCATGGTCAGACATGATTTGCCCTTGGCAAAGCCAAGCTGGCTGTTCCCAATGACTGGAGTTCTTCACATACTTGGAAAGAGTTTCCAGGAGTATTTGTTCCATAATATTCCAGGAGTGTGAGGTGAGGCTGACCACTCTGTATTTCTTCATAACCTCCTCTTGAAGATGGGTATGACATTTGTTTCTCAACAGCTATCAGGAATCTCCCCCAAACACAATAACCTTTTGAAGATGACAGGTGTCTACTCATTGTTATGAGCCAGGTCCACGTGGATCCATGAACATGAGAACGTCCAACTTGTTGAAGCACTCTAGCTTCCTGTACCATGGGTTATTCTTCCCTCCCTCAAGACCCTCCTACTAGGCTTAAGGACCTGAGATTCCTGAGGACAAAGAGAGTACCTCAGCCTTTCCATGTCCTTTATCACTAGATCCTCTACCCCATTGAGCAATGGGTCCACATTTTCCTTAGGCTTACTTTTGCTGCCCGTCTACTTATAGAAGCCTTTCTTGCCACTGTTCACAACCCTCAACAGTTTCAGCTCCAGCTGAGCACTGGCTTTCCTGCATCCATCGCTGCATGCTTGGACAGTGTCTCCCTTTTCCTCTTGGGTAGCCCAGGAAGGTATACTTCCTTTTTGTTTTTGAGACCAGAGCCCAGTTATTCCAGTTTTGTGTTTGAGACCAGCTGACCGTTATCCATATTAGCCTTCTACCATGCTTGCTTAACTTTCTGCAGATCAGTGTGGATAGTTCTTGGACTCTTAGGAGGTCATCCTAGCAAATCAGCCAGCTCTTTGGGGCCCCTTTGCTCTTCACAGTAGTCTCACATATGATCCCACCAAGCAGATAGCTGAGCAACCACTTGCTCACTTATTTTAGAATTTTAAAGTTCACAGTCTCATGGTCATTGCAGATGAGACCCTTTATCTTTGCACTTCCAGTCAGTTCTTTCTTGTTTGTGAGTAACAACTGGCATATCTTCTTCTCTAGATGGACTATTGATCACCTATATTGACCCAGTATTGACAATCCATACCAGAAATCTCCTGGGTTGCTTGTGCCAAGCCATGTTGCCCCTCTAGGAGATGTTAGGTGGTTTCCCTGAGTGCAGGGTCCAGCAGTCATAAGGCTTCCTCCTCCTGTTACCTAAAGAACACTTAATAGACTTCACTTCCTTGATCAAGCCGTCTGTGGTAGATACCTCCTATGACATCACCTGCATTGGTTTGTCCTATGGTCTTTGCCCATAAAATCAAGTGGCTCGTCAGCCCTTCAAAGTCAAAGCTCTGTGTATTCTTCCTCAGAGGCCAAGTCAAGTTGGCAGGGGAGTGCCTCCTTCCCTCCAAGAGCTACATTTTCAGAAATATGGAATACTTCGGTTAGTGTGAAGTAGCTTCTGCAGATATACAAATAGTGCTATTCAGTCCATGTGGGATAGTTCATCACTAGTCTAGTGCAGTAAATTGCATCCAAATCTAATAAAAACCTATTAATGTTTCACTGGTTAATTACACTTAAAATAGTTACTTATGCACTCCTCCTGTCTTAAAAGGATATTAAAGATGGGATTATCTGAGTAAAAGCAGCCATGTAAAGGCTGGACAAGTATTCTAGCTAATGTGGAGAATAAGGTACTCCTGTAGAGTAATTAATCTTACTTTTCCTAGGTAGGCATTACAGAATTACATTCTCTAGAAGTACCTTTATATTTCTTGTTTGAGTGGGAGCCTATTTGCACTAGTTTATAGTTTCTACAACTTGAAATAGTTAACACTAGAGTAATTGGATCCCACTTTAATATTTTATAGTCAAGAATTCAGGAGGCCTCAAATAAAGTCACATGTGGAATCTGAATTTGTTCCTAATGTATCTTTGCTATAAAACAGTTGTCAATTGTGTGCTCACATATTGGCTTTCCATAGTAGGCTAAAATCCAAATCGTGTTAAAATGTACTGTGGTCTTTACCCAAATATTTTCAGATGAATAGAAGCAGCTCCTATTGTCCTCGGTGGCAGTTTGGCATTCCCAAGTGAGAGGAGAATGTGCTTCAGTATGTAAGAAAATACTACACAATACCTACCAAGACCTGTCATCAATATTCACAATAAAATGTACCTACTGGCTGCTAAAATCTCTAGCAAGCACACAGATAATTAGATAATAGATGTGTGTGTGCAAGATTATTAGATATAAAATTGGCAATATATGCTGCAGATGCTTAACAAGAATAATTGTTAATAAATAAATAATATCGTTAGTAATATAGAAGTTATTAAAAAAGGGATAAGAAAAAATAGGGAAGATAATTGATAGGATGGAAAGTTGAGTCTTTTTTTATGTTTTGAGGTAAGAAAATGGAAACTTTTTGCCATTTTGTGCAATGCTGATAGGTAGACACTAGAGGGCGCAGGGAGCTTAAGAATTATACAGGACATAGAAAAATTAAGATTTACAGAATGCGATAACCCACACACCTTATACATAGTCCACACTTTAAAATATATTGAAAAAGTCTGCAGGTGATAGCCATGTGGCACTGCACTGTCAGATAGAATGATGTTCAGAGGCAGTGGGCTTTGCAGAACTGCCATGCGAAACAACTCAGGGCAGCTGTGTTAAAGCTCGGTAAAGTAAGGTGATGAGCAAATCCAGTTTAGCTTATTTAGAAGTTGTATCACCAAAATTAGGAGATGTCACAAAAGGGTTTATTGGTGTGAGAGTGCAGGAGGAAATTGTAACTGCATAAATTCCCTGTACAAATCAGTAAAGAGAGGAAACAAAGAGTGTTGTTACACATTTGCTTTAATGTGGCCTAAAACCATTCTACTGCTAAAGAGGTGATGACACTGTCTCCATGTTCTTAGCCTTACTCAAATCACTGGCTGGACACTGGCACTGGTGCCCATTCAGCTTTGTGGGGAACTAGTCCAAAGCCCTGACTGGTCTAAAAAATAATCCTACAAAAAGAAGTTATGTGTTTAGGGGACTTTGTTGTTTTTGTTGTCTGTTTAGTTTGTTTGGTTTGTTTGTTTTTTTGTTTTGGTGTTTATTTTTTGTTTGTTGGGGTTTTTTTCGGCCAGTACTAGTCCAATGTAAAATATCTGTACGTTTCAGGGGTTGGAATTTTAGTTCTGCCCTTTTGTACATAGCATGTCCTAACCCCCATGCTAAAATAAGACTCCCTTTTGCTTTCCTAGTATCTACCCCACCAT